TCCCTGTCTGCTGCTGCTAGATCGCAGGTCCGGGCGGCCAGCGACCGGGTCTGCTGCCCTGAGAACCTGTCTCCAGTGCCAGGCCTCCAGTCAGCACTCTGTAAATACTTGGTGAAAGAAGCCAGTGAAGGACTCGGCGAATGAGCCGATCAGCCCCCACCCCACCTCACCCCGATGTCTGGCCCAGTGCCTTGTGCAAAGTAGATATTCCGAAAATATTTGCTAAAAAATTAAAGTTTGACTCTGCACACTTTCTGGCTGAAGCGTGTCCCTTGGTGCCTTTAGGATGGTGGGGCAGGGCCCGGTGGGTGTGGGGGGCACTTCCGAGGACTCTGCTGGACCCTACAGGCAGCCCCACGCCTGCCTCATCCTATAGGTGGAGTCTTAGATGACTCTGCTACCAGACACACTGGGCAGAACAGTCATGTTTATTTCTTTGTGTTTTCTCTAGAAGCTCCACCCACCATGCAGAGCTCTTGATGGGCAAGTCTGCAGAAACCTCTGGCCCAGAAGGCCCAGAAACCACTGCCCCATCCCTGAGGGTCTTCAAAAGGGGGACTGAAGGGGGAGGAAAGGAGTTGGGAGGCTAGGAAGCACTGTGGGAGGCGGGGGTAGCCGGTAGACACTATCATCACAGTTAAAGGCATTGACTTTGAAGTGAACAAGTAAAAGATCTGAGTTGCCATTCTCCTGTTTCTGGGGATCAGAGCTGTGTGACCCCAGGCAGGTGTGCAGCCTCTCTGATCCTGTCTGTACTTTTGTAGACCATTGTCTTAACTCTGACACCCACTCGTGAGGCTCACAGACCTGTGGATGTGGGAAGGGCCAGTGGTGTCCCCAAGGTGATGAGGTGGGCATCTGCACTGGGACCCCGAGCGTTGAACCCAGCCTACCTGGCTCCAGGCCCAGGGCTTGTCCTCCATCCTTTCTGTCCCTCTTGGTGGGGCAGTTTGGAAGGTGCAAGTCAGCTCATCCTTTGCGGTGGACGAATGGGGAAGAATGACTCAAGACTTGGGGGGAAGCTGGACACTTTCCCACCTTGACTTCCTGGACCTGGCCTTTCTCTGCCCCACTGGGTCCCCACTGTAATCTCACCGCGTGGCTTGGAAAAGCCATGAGACTCAGGGGGGCCAGGATTCAGCCTTTAATAGACCTGCCTGCTTCTAGACCCTACCTTAAACAGGCCTTTTGGAGCAGGTAGAGCATGGGTGCATGCCAGGAAGCCTCAGGCCCAGGGGCATCCCTGCTGTCCCCATGCTGTGCCACAAGTAAGGGGCCCTCACGGTAGGACAGGAGGCCCCACGCACAGGGCGGTCAGCAAATAATGCCCAGCATGGAGTGGACCAGTCTGACTCCTTGTTCAGCCCTAAGTGCAGCACTGCAGGGCGTGGGGGCGGGCCTGAATCCGAGGGGGCGGGCCTGATCCGAGGGGGCGGGCC